TTTCTGTACCTGAAATTTAGTTCAGTTGTATTTATTTATGATATTTCTAATTGATTTGTTTGTTCCTATCTTATAAATTACTGTTTACTTGTCTTTAACACTTTAATATTTTAAATTGATATTAATCTAGTTGTTTTTTGCTGTGGTATTTTTTTTAAAGCATAGGCAAATTCCTCTTGCAGTGTTCTGTAGGCTGCTAATTTTTGCTCGTGTTATTCAGCTGCAACAGAATGCTTTGTAAAAAGACAGAATAAATGTTTGACATCTAAATGTTTGACTTAATTTTTTTATATCTTACTGGAATCGAAACTAGGAATCGATAAGAATCGGAATCGATAAGCAGAATTGATAAAATTCAAACGATACCCAACCCTAGACATAAGACTATTACACAAAGCATTTATTAGCAGTACTTTTTTTGCATAAAGCGGAGCTGAAGGTCTAGAAAACTTTAACTGTACAAAAAAGGGGGCGCACCGAGAACACAGAATGAATGCATGCATGATCATAAAACAAAACTCATACACCAAATGGCAACTGCTTATGCACGAACTACAACCGATGGCTTATGACTACAATAATCAAGCCAACACTTTCAAGGTCACAATATGTACACTTAAAGGGGTCATATGATGCGATTTAAATTTTTCCTTTCTCTTTGAAGTCTTAAAAGCTCTTGGTGCCTACAGAAGATCTGTAAAGTTGCAAAGACTAAAGTCTCAAATCCAAAGAGAAATTCTTTATAAAAGTTAAGACTTGTCAACGCCCTCCTAAAACAGCTCGTTCTAACACGCCCCCACACGTCTACGTCACGATGTGGGAAGATTTACATAACGCCGCCCAAATGTTCACGCAAAGAAAGAAGGTGTAAATTTTATTCTCGCTGTAGTATTGTTGCTGCCGCCGCCATGTCGTGAAGGCGCTGTGTTTTGTTGTGAAAGCGAAAATACTTTGTTTGGCCTTCCAAAAGAGGACACGACTAGAAATCAGTGGTTGAGTTGTATTTACAACACTGTTCCAGAACAGTTCAACCCAAATATTCAGATGTGTTCAGCGCATTTTATGGAGGACTGTTTCCTGATCCTGGTAGAGTAGACTACAATGCCGGCTGTTCTGACTCACAGACTATAACAAAATATTTTTAAAAAGTACATTTTTTATATTTAAAGAATTTACCACTGACGATTCAAACGCGAGTTTTGGGCAGTGTAGAGTAGCACTTGTTGTTTGTCATTTCTCCGATCACAAATGCAGACATGGTTTTAGGTGCATAAAATGACAGTATATGTAATTATAATGAGTACTTATGTCCCCACTGGATGCAACAAATGCCTCGTTTATAATGGGTTTCACTGGTTTTGTCTCATCGCTCTGGCCGGACATGGCATCAACAATATGGTGAGGGGCATAACATTTCCGTCACACGCTTGAGGAATTCGGCCAATCACAACGCACTGGATAGCTGGCCAATCAGAGCACACCTCCCTTTCAGACCGATGAGCTTTGTAAAAATTGACGCGTTTCAGAAAGGCGGGGCATAGAGGAGAAACAATAATGTACAGTATGTGGAAAATAATGTGTTTTTTTTACCTTAAACCGCATAAATAAAATGACAGTATATGTAATTATAATGAGTACTTATGTCCCCACTGGATGCAACAAATGCCTCGTTTATAATGGGTTTCACTGGTTTTGTCTCGTCGCTCCGGCCGGACATGGCATCAACAATATGGTGAGGGGCGTAACATTTCCGTCACACGCTTGAGGAATTCGGCCAATCACAACGCACTGGATAGCTGGCCAATCAGAGCACACCTCCCTTTCAGACCGATGAGCTTTGTAAAAATCGACGCGTTTCAGAAAGGCGGGGCATAGAGGAGAAACAATAATGTACAGTATGTGGAAAATAATGTGTTTTTTTTTACCTTAAACCGCATAAACACATTGCATTACACCAAATACACAAATTAATGTTCTTTTTAGCAACACCATATGACCCCTTTAAAAAAAAAAATAAAAAAAAGTGATCAAAGTCAATTGGACCACTTTGTTTTATAAGCCCGAGAAGGCAGAACTTTGAGAGAACAGACACTAGTATTCAAATTAAGCCGTCAGCGCATTGGGGTCATGTGGCTTTCCAGCACATTCCTGCAATGCAGCCTTTATTGGCAAAGAAACGCAGAAAATCCCTGATGAAATGCGGTCGACGGTCCCTCCAGGGCTGTTTGAGCCAGTTCTCCCCGCTCGCGCTAGACACGCACTTCCTCGCTAACGTTAGCTTGAGGAAACATTACTCGAGAACCCTATAAAAATAAAAAAAAAGTGATCAAAGTCAATTGGACCACTTTGTTTTATAAGCCCGAGAAGGCAGAACTTTGAGAGAACAAACAGACACTAGTATTCAAATTAAGCCGTCAGCGCATTGGTGTCATGTGGCTTTCCAGCACATTCCTGCAATGCAGCCTTTATTGGCAAAGAAACGCAGAAAATCCCTGATGAAATGCGGTCGACGGTCCCTCCAGGGCTGTTTGAGCCAGTTCTCCCCGCTCGCGCTAGACACGCACTTCCTCGCTAACGTTAGCTTGAGGAAACATTACTCGAGAACCCTAAAAACGGCCGTTTTAAACAGCTAAAATTCGCTGATATTAATATTACAATAAAATATTACACTACTTCAGTGCAGAAATGTTGTAAGGCTCTTAGTTTAAGAAGGCGATATCCATTTTTCCTGCGCGCGCCGGCTCCGCACTACACGTGTCGTCATTCATTACACACCCGCTAACAGCGAATATAACGTTATAAATCAAAATTACTTTATTGAATTACCAAAATAACCCAAAAATAAAATTGTATACATAAAACAACATATATGAGTGGCACTGTGGTGTTAACTAATCGTAAAGAGATCCTGGCGTTTTGTTTTCCACGCGAGTCAGCTGACAAAGCCAGAGCTCGCGCTCATTCTAACCGTTCAAATTAGCCAACGGAAAAATGTCGACGAGAAAGTAAGACAAATATCACTCACTGCCAACTAGAATGAGAAAAAAATTGTTTTTACTCACCACTCAAACAAAATTGTCGATAAATGTCGATTTAGATATTTTTGCCACTGCAGCCCGCCCAGTCAACTTCCCGTAGCCGCGTTCCGCGCGCGCGGGGTGAGAGATAGCAAACGCTCTCGCTTCTAACGAAGCACTAACGTCGGATAAATAAAGTAAATTCAAAGCTTAAGACTACAAACAAGACACTGTTAGTTGTTTTAAGTTCTTGAATCAATGAAAAACTGGTAATAAACCGCTCTCAACCGGCTTCAGTTGATGAGTTCCTGCTTGTCCAGGCAACACATATATCATCCGGCTGCGGGGGCGGGGCCGTCTTCAGCCGATAGTGACGTCGAACAGTAAACCCCGCCCTCTGACCTTATTTGGCGATATCAGGAGAAACAAATGTTTTACTTAACCCAACCTTAGACTGTTCGACTCTATAATATGAAAATTAAAAATCTGTAGAATCCAGGCATTTTAAATATAAATGTAAGACTTTACGCAGCACCTACCCTAAAAATACTTCACTTCAGATGTTTACAGATGCTTTAAAAGAATGTTTTTTGTGAAAAGTAATTGAGTTATTTTTTAAATTTCATAATTGATTTGGTATTTATTTTCTCTGACGTTAAAGAAGTAAAATAAGACTATATATAAAAAGATTTAGATAAAGAGTGCGGATATATATTCACAAATGTGTTCACAAATATCTAAGTCGAGTTTCTTTAATACAGTCTCTTAATTATTCAAAAAAAGGGACAAAGTGTGATTGCGTATATATTAAAATAAAACTGGTGTCTGTTGGTGATTATTAATAGTCATGTGTTCAACTGTCAGATTATAAAGGCGTCTCTTGTTTCCCGTATTTGCATCTCCTGTGACACTAATTTTATCTAGTTCCTTTCGTGGGTTATCGGAAGTCATGGGATATATAGACTGAGATGAAGCTCAGTGAAGGTGATGCTGCAAGCTGTGCTATCACTCCCCCACGTGGCCACAGCAAAAAGTTACTTCAAGGGAGTATTTCTCCCTTTCCTGGTTCAGGAGCATAGGATTTATGTACTTCAGATAGGGCATTTATTGCCCATGTGAAATAATAAAGACAGGAATTATTATTTGAATGGGCTCAATACATCTAGATAGACAGACAGATAGATAGACAGACAGACAGACAGACAGACAGACAGACAGATAGACAGACAGACAGACAGACAGACAGACAGAAATTAAAACCAAATAAATACAAAAATAAAAAGAGAGAGAGACAAAATAATCAAATAAATAATGATAAAATAGATAGATAGATAGACAGATGGAGAAAGAAAGAAAGAAAGATAGATAGATAGATAGATAGATAGATAGATAGATAGATAGATGGTAGATAGATAGATAGATAGATAGATAGATAGATAGATAGATAGATAGATAGATAGATAGATAGATAGATAGATAGATAGATAATGAAAGCTTGAAGTTTAGTAGACAAATATAGACTGTCTACGCATGGATTTTAATAAATTAATTTATTAAATAATAAATTACTTAATAGTTTTGATGACTTAACTATTACTCCAAAATGTCTACTTATCCTAATTCTGATTACTCTGCATGGAATAAGGGGCTCATTATTTCATAGTTACAGCACGGACTAACTTGGTAAATCTGTTTAACTTTAAAGTTGTTGAGGACCTTTACCAATGGATTGACTTAAGGTGAGTCATGTGAACTTGCTGGTTGAGCTAGGGTGGCGACCAACGAAGACAGACAGCCATATTACCCTATTAGAATGAGAGGTTAATCCTCAACGTAAGAGACAGCCAATAGAAACTCGTAAAAACTGAGAAGGGCGTGGCTAAGCTCCACACTCCAGTCCAGTTGGTGGCGGTAAATGCACCAGAAGTTGGTTTGCCATCCGCCATAAAACGTTATTAGAAGAAGAAGAAGAAGAAGGGCGTGGCTAATAGGCAAGTTCGACGCAACTCGCACTGAGAGGTGTGAGGGCATGAAGCTAACGCACGAGGATAAAAGTAAGATTAATTTAAGGATAGGAATACGAAAAGTCAGTTTAGCTGTTATAAAATACCGGGTATGACATACCGTTTAAAACATTCGAGTGGTTGTCGTTGATTTAATCACAGTTTGCCCGCGTCGCATGTCATTGAATGTTGGCTAGCTAACGTTAGTTGATCTGTTATTGCAGTTGTTAGCAAATCTCGAACTGTTTGTTTATCTAGTAAATTAATATGACAGCGTCTCATAATGTGAGATGAGAATACAAAAAATAAAACAATATTTTTCTCTCGTGCATTTGAGTTGTCCATTAAAACCTGTCGTTTTAAATAGCAAGATAATCGCTAGTGCATGTCAAATTGGCGCTGCGTTGCACTTGTCTCAGTCCTCTGAATACATGGGAACTAATCTGTATAGTAAATCTTTGTTTTTTAGCTAAAAAGTGCTCTTCAAAGTCAAATCTAGATATCATCGAGTCGTGGTTCTAGAAACCGAGATGTTCCCCTCCATCCAGCAACGCCCCGTGTGCAATATAGGGGCCAGAGCGGTCCGACTGCAAAGCTTCAGCACTTTTAAATCAAGTGGTGCGATAAATAGCAAATCGTGGAGTTTGTCGTGGCTGGGTGAGCGCGTGGGCCTGCTGGTGTCTTGGCTCCAAACAGCAGGAAGGGGAACGAACAAGCTGGCCTGCGACAAAAAGAAGGCGAGACTGTTGTCTATATTCGCCAACCACTGTAGTTTTGTGACAGGCCAGAGGCTGAGAAGGGCCCTTCAGATAGGAGAGCTGTACTCAAACCTGTACTCTGAGAGGAGCAGGTGGACACTGGTGGGCAACATATGGCGGCGCCTGCAGAGCAAACACACTGGAAAACTCCTAGCAGCCCTGGCTGGGGTCTTCATGTGGGAAGACGAGAAGATTGGAGATGATGAGCTGAGAAGGTACTTCCCTCACTTCTGGACTGTTCATGTGGTGCTATTTGTAATTTTGGAATAAGACCCATAATGTGCCCCCATGATCTGATATTCACACTGGTTAAGTGTCTACAGTCCAACGGGCCCTAGCTTTGTAAACAAAACAGGCATGGCCCTTCTATTAACCAATCAGAAACGCTCTCTAGCTGTCAATCACTTTTCGTGTTCAGGTGTTATGGCATCAGATTGGCTGTTATGGCTTTAGAGGGCGTGGTTTTGATGACATTTTAGCCAAATGTTATTTGAACATGTTTGTAGCATATTTGGTATCATTTTATCTTCATGTTTACGCATTATTGTGGTTAAAGCACAATTCGTCTGAACTTGCGCTTTAGGTGTGCGTGGGAGCTGCAGGCACTGGAGTCGGTGAGAAGCCAGAATGTGAACCCAAAGACAGCCGTGTATGCGGATCCAGGCTGGGAGCTGGTCATGGAGAAGAAGAACTTCAGGGTTTGGAGGAGACCTATCCAGGGAAGCCATCTTTTTGAATACAGAGGTATGTTTTAAACGGTAAAACAACATATATTTATTGTCATTAATTAGTAATTACCGTATTGGCCCGAATATAAGACGACCCTGATTATAAGACGACCCCCCTTTTTCCAAATGTACCTTTTGGAAAAAGGCTTTTTAAAAACCAAATCTTGTTTTTTCTCAGTAGTAATTGTGTTTTCCTTTAGCCAAGAAGGAACAGTTTACCACTGGCCCGAAAAAATTTGTTAGAAAATGTTCAAACAGCCATAAATCGTAACAGGCCTGTTTTTGCTCTAAACGGCAACCAGCTCTTTTGTTTTATTTCAGCCGATCTCTGTTCTGGACTTGCACACAAACTGTGTTGCTAGCATTTTCGAAAATGTAATTTGTGTGGAAATACGAGGTCTGTAAATAGGACGTTAACAGAGGCCAGAGACGCTTAGGACAAATGCAAAGAGGGGAAAATACTGTAGCTGGCAGAGCAAACTCTCTGTTCATGATGCGCAAAATATTGGAAGAAAATCCTTAATATAATAATGAGGGGAACTGACTGTTTTCAGAAAAGTTTACATGGCGTTTTCTTTTCATCTCGCCTCTATAATGCATACTAAAGTAGTGTTCAGTAGCAGTAGCATCACTTCTGACAGTGAACACTGATGTGTTTTCTAACATTCTATCCAGTGGTCAGCTTTAAGAGAAGTATTTTGAATGATGCCATTTCGTCTTGTGATGAATGTTTGTAGTAAAGTGGAAAGCAGCTTTGTTAACATTAATTCAGTAACTTGTTAACAAATCATTTTGATTGTTGTCAAAAGTAGGCTATTAGTACTTTTGTTCCAAGTTGATACTGAAATTTAAAAAATTTAACAACACCTATTGTGTCCAATTTCGACCCCCTGCCAAATTATTACCCCCATTGTTGAAGTCGCAACCTGATTGCCTAATCCTAACCCCACACGTACTCCTAAACCTCAGCCCCTCCCTCAGAAATACGCAGTCGGACTCAGATTGGTCAGCTTGCCCAGTGTGTTGTGATTCGCTAACCGCCTAGTGCACGTTGTCCGGAAACGTCATGCCCCCTTACCATTACGAGTACTTGCATGGTTCGGGGGGCAGGGTTTATGTAAACATCGGGGTTAGTGATGTCACAAACCTGGGAAGAAGCTCGTTGTAGTCCCTACCAGCCTTTTTTGTAGTCTTTAAACAGCGATTTCTTTAAAAGAAAATATTTCCCTTTGCATTGAACTTTGAGTGTCGTAACTTTGCAGACATTGTTTATGCTCTAACGGCAATATTACACACTAATGTAACGTTTATTATTATTTATTAGCTCTAAAAAGGGGAATAGTTAAAATAATACGAAATGTTTCTTGAGCAGCAAATCAGTATATTAGAATGATTTCTGAAGGATCATGTGACACTGAAGACTGGAGTAATGATGCTGAAAATTCATGTAATAAATTACATTTAAAATATAAAACGGTTATTTTAAATTGTAATAATATTTCACCTTATATATGTTTCACATTGTATATGATTTTTTATATGTTTGCCCCTATTTTGAGTAATTTTATAGCTTTTTCCTTAGATTCCTTAGAATTTAGAAATTGAGTCATGCACAATTTTGCTGTATACATGTATTATTTTTTATAGACAATTTAAAAAGTTTTTTCAGACAATATTTACATAATGAGGATCTCTGAATTTCACAGATGAATTGGCTGCCATCATGAAAGTCGTTCATGAATTCTGCCCTTTATGCAGCTGCTGTTTCTTGACACCTGTTTGCAAAGATTTCACTTCCTCTATCTCACAGGCATGCCAGACTTCCTGGAGAAGCTTCACACCGCTGCTCTCAGAGCTAAAAATATGGATGTCGGTGTTCACGACTACGTCAATATCATCAAACCTACCCAACCCACCCAAGAACGACTAGCTGATAATGCTCACGCCAGTGGCCCGAGTCAGATCTACGCCTGAGTGTCTGGCCACAGCGATTGATGTACTGTTGAAAAAGGACCTGGAACAGAACATTTTTCACTTATGGGATCATTAATTGAAACCACAAAGAAATTCAAACCATCTTTTCCCAAAATTCATCTATGCCAGTCCTGCACTAGCTGTCATACTGAGCGCTCACATCCCCCATTTCATGAGCTGTTAGTTTGCTTCCTCTTTCTGTAGGGTGCATCTTAACCAAACTGCTGAGATGAGCCAAAATAACGGCATTTATCAATTGTAGATTCTCCTGCCAAGCAGCATTTCACTCCGCATTTAAATCACGATCATCAGAATCAATCATGCTGTTGAGATGCTGAAAAACAACAGAAGCATGCACACGCCCTACAAGTTTCAACTTCAGGAAGTCGCTTGTGCACATAAAGCCACTTTTTATTTTTCCACTATGTGGTTCTTTTTTCCAGTTTATACTGTGATGAGCTCAGCTGAACCAGATCGAGTCGCCATCGTCCTCATTTACCGTGTGAATGTTCACTGCCAGTAAAACCCAAACAGCCTTCACAGGATCACCAAAACCTCCTCTGGAAACATGAGAGGTGTGTCTTATGCCAACCGCAACATCCTCATGATCAGGCACAGCTTCCTCCTGCGCTCTAGAGGGCTGTTTGAAGTATAACATGTCTTTTCTACTCTGAACTCCAGGAAATGAGGACACTGTGACTCGATGTTGTAATGAAAGTGGAAGGACAGTGTGCAAGTCGGTATACAAACTCACTCGAGGATGCATTTTGCGCAAGTGCAAAGAATTAGGGGTGTTTTATTGTGATTGGGAATCCACTCTAATGGGATTGTCTGTGTTATACATGTTTACTTAAAAAAATGAATTGGTACAGTCAAACTTAGCTTGTTGATGCAGATTACACTGATTTTGATCAACCTGCAGACTTGAATCTAGATTGTTGTCCTGTTTTGGTCTCCGTCCCATCGTTTGACCTTTGTTTCATACTGATGTATGTAGTAACACCAGTGAAGTTATACATACTACAGTTTGCTTTGTGGAGAAAAAGTATATCAATCATCTGAGGAAAGGTACATGCATCTTGTGTCCGTTCTATCTTTATGGCCTTTGCAGAGGAACATCTGAAATGAAAGCAGATGAAAATCTTTCGAATCCCAGATTTTATTTGGTGGATGTGCAAATATACGCTTGTATGACATCCAGATGTCCTTTGTTTAAATGAGGTTCGCACTTAATAATGGCATGACATTTTTTGTTACACGAGTGGTAACTAAATAGCATAATTTTCAAAGGAATTATGTTGCACTTGAAATGTGAATGGTCCCAAAGATGCACCGTTGACTTAGTTGATTATGACATCCATATAATCAAGCATTTGACTTTCCGTTTTGAATATCTGCTCTTTACTGAAGGTGCAAGTAAACCTCAGCATCCTGTTCACTATTTTTCCATATGAATTTTTTTTTTATGTCCTTGTTTCTTTAATTTAGTCAGAATACCCTTGTCGCACCATTCTGTTAGGGTTCATCATAAAAAGACATGGCCTAAATATATTTATGTAAGTTTAACATCTAGATAGAACTGCCCTTTTTTACATCCCAGTGTGTTTAAGGGGAAAAAGACAGCAAAAATAGTTGTTGTTTTTGTTGTTGCTGTTAAGAAAAAAAAAAAAAAAATTATTAAAGGTGGTGATGATCATTTTCTATGATTTTGATGTTTAAAACTATTGTTCACAGTGGTCAGTCAAAAGGTATTTTATTAAATATTACACATTTATAGATGTTACACTCTATTGACATCATTTACCACAAAAATATTTTTTGATTTGTACATTACATTGGAAAAAAGTTTTTTGTTAGTTTTTTACTAACTGAGGTACAAGTTGAAATGATGTACTGTGCTAATATTGCATAATGACAATTTTATTTTTTTTACTCCTTAAAACAAATACAAATATCCCAGTGTCATGTCTTGTTCCGTTTCCCAAAAGTAACAATTTATTTCCATGCAAATTACATAAGTCCACTCATCCTGAACATGGTTGAGCACCACGTTTTCTTCCGTTTCATCTAAACATCATGTTGAAAACTCCAATATACACTAGAATACTGAAAAGTGCATTTTCTTCCGCTTATGATTTGTCAAAGCATCATGAGAAAAACTCAAACTCCACAGTTTAATGCGCTTGATTCACTTTTTCTAATATCTAAACTAGAAGTGTTCTCAAGTGAAATGGTGTATGTTTGAATGATTGAGACGCCAGGAGCTTGAGTTTGTTTTTTGCTCTAATGTGAAAATGATCCACCTAATTCATTAATTGGCGACAATAAAATAATTTGAAATCATTTCTGAGTCTTGTTTCATTTTTATTCATGTTGGCATAGTATCGATGACTGTGACCTTCAAGAAACAGGGCAGTAAATCTGATGTTTTAATAACTTTTAAGCATCATATGCAGCCACATCTGGGAACAACAGAATAAATGTAAGTCCAACAACATACTTCATAGATAGACTGCATTTACTTAATAGTCTAGATATGTATTAATGGTGTTTGCTAAGTATTATAATTTCTCCTATTGAAGGTTAGTGATCTAAATAAACCTCTAACCTAAATTAATACAAGGCCTCGGTTACACCTTAGCATCGTGTCGGCGAGCTTTGCACAAGCAAACGCCATTGACGTTCTCTTTTAAAAGTAAAAGTCAAGTCATGCATGTTACTTTTGTTCCCGTTCAAAATGCACATCACACCCAGACTGGCTGCAGTATCTGTGTATATTAATAAAATACATAATGGTAGTCATGATTGAACTTCCAATTATAGTGCATTTTCATTGGCTGGACTTCTGTAGCATTTATTAATTGATTACATTCATAGTTAGACATTCATTCATCCATTTTATGGTTGATATGCATCTTTTTTTAAACCCCTAAGTGAATCAGTTAAAGTGTTCAAAATCTCCATAAAGTGCTATGAATAATTCTAAAATGTGAGCTGGTCTCTGAAGAGGTCAAATCTCCTAAGATTCAATAAATAAAACACTTGTGCACAGGCAAACAGATGGCACGACTCCGAGCGGAGTCCATTACTTCGAAAATGACTGGAGCTGAGCAGTGCAACCTAACTTGACCTCAGACGGTAAAACAGAGTGGTTCATTCATCTAGAGACTGACTGTAAGTGCTGCTCTGCAGTGAGCGCCACCCATCTTCATGACCTCCTGACTGCATCTAAGATTGCATTTTTCGAACAAGGCTTACATTACTAAAGTCTTTTTGTCTTATAACAAGATCTTTTTTTGTTTCAGTAGTGAAAACGGTGGCTGATGTGCCAAGTTTGTTCATATATTTTCTTATGATGAATGAGCATGCAACTGGACTTCGACATTTATCATAATTTGCTTTCAAACCAGCTGTAAAAAATGAAGAAAAAAACTGATTAAAAAGAATCCCCATGTGGATTGAGACCTACTCTGAATATTGGGGAGGTTGGGTAGGCTATATATCTCTCCCTTCTGTTTATGGTGGTTACGGCTTCAGGTGTATGAGCAAATTGAAAGGACATGAAGAAAGAAATATCAAGCCATGGCATCAGCTTTGCTGAGGAAGTGCATGTTGGCAACAGAACTAACACTATTTTGACCACAGTGTCACTATTTCCACTCACTGTTGCACACATTTTTCAAGCTATAATGATCGTCACAATCAACAAACAAAACATAATGCATTTTATTCTCTTTAAAATACTTGTTTGGGACAAAAAGTTACACTTCTACAGACTGTTGCACAAGGTTTGATTCTTTAGACTGTGGATCTAAGAGGAAAAGAACAGTAAGAAATACCTGGAAGAAAGTGCACACAAGTCTCCAAAGTGCTTGGCACAACCATGGACAGAAAGGGAACTGCATGGTTAGATCAAGCACAATGGTGTCCTGGGCAAAGTCGTAAAGTCAGTAGAAACTTGTTCAGGTTGTGGATCAGTCACAAAAGACAAGATGGAATGGTTCATGTACATTAAAATGCTGTTTAAAATCATGCAGAATACAATGAGGATCGTCTGGGAAAGTCTACATATGGTGGAACCACATGTCATAGATCACTGGATGAAGGTAATTCAAAAAGACCATCAAAAGATCAAGAAGTTGTCTTCTTCAGCCGTCCTCCGATGGTGTATCTGTTCTCCAAAAGACTGTATTCAAGTTTCCAGAAATGGGAAGTTACTGGAAATCGAGAAGAGCAATATCATAGAGGTTGTTGCAGGTGATTACCGAGAGCGACACAATAGGAGACGGTGGAAAAGGTGTTCGTGATAGATGGTGACTAAGGATGTCTGCAAAATTAAAAAAAGGAAAAAAAGATTAGTCATAGGTCACGTTCTCACTGCAGAGATTCGCAGGCACCGCCCTTCCTGCGCAAAAACTGCGTCAAACCCCACCCTCTCCAAAACTCGTACACCTCCCTACTATCTATGCCTGATGACCAGTCGACAAAACGGTTAATTTTCTAAAATTTCAGTAGAATAATGAAATGGAACTCAAGAGAACTCCAGAATGGAGGTTAACAAACGAGAGTGGCTTGGTAATCACATGGGTTTGCTGTCATTCAATTGTTTAGAGGTTTTCAAAAAATCTATAGAAATAGAGTTTGTTGAAGTGATGCTTGTCTTGTTAAGGGACATCAATAGCTCCCCAGCTTTTTAACTTGCTCAAATAGACTGCTCTATGGGCAAATAAGAATAAACCACCAATGTAATTTTCTTTCGCAGCCAATGTTGTCTATTTCACATCACAGCCAGTGTCGTCTATCCCACAACATTTGGACATCAGCGCTAATTCTTAACTTGTTACTGCAAAATCTCTTGTGGTAACACTTCCTAAGGTATCCCAGAGTATCTCTTCCAAAAACCCACCTAGATTCTGCCCATCCATCTGGGTGGTAATCATATTACCCTCATACTTGCCATGCCCCATGGGACATTTTAGTGGGAATGGGAAGGATGGGTGCACTAATCAACTCTAAAGGTCGGACAACTGAACCACTTAGCATGATGAAATGGGAGGAAACAAACATTATTAAGTATGATGTTGGAGATGTTGGTGGAGAATGAAGGATGAGGACCAGAAAGAACAGTTGATCAAATATAAATGGACAATGGCATTGTCTACGCCTATATTCTTCAACCAGTTTCATGATACAGTTGGTGTCTCACTGACCCTCTTGAATCTATTCTTTGAGCGTGTTACAAATTTGGAACAAATATTACATCTTACCCAGTTTGTTCAGCATATTTTGTCCCCCTCTTGCACAATACTCTTTGAAAATCTTTACCTTGAAGACTTGTCCAAAAGGTGCAAAATAAACTTTGAGTACACTGAAACTGTTCTAAGGAATTGTCAGCGCAGCTCTGCGAGGAGAAAAGAAGAACCGTTAAGACATTCAGCAACTTATGCATTTGGGACTCTCACCTCAATCTTGAAGAGGACCATCTACAAGAGGTCTTGTAGAGGACTTTCCAATAGGTTCCCACAGGGATGGATGTCCTCAAAGCAGATCTTCATGCCGAGACCAATGCCTCTTGTTCTCGCCTCACCGACGACTAAGATCATCTGAGGGAGCTTCTGTTTTAAGCTGGTCGTCTGGACTGGACCCGTTAGCCGAACTGAAGGCAAACTGTCCAGGATGTCTCTCCTCCAACACCCCCCATACTCCGCCCCTCCCTCTGCCCCGCAGGAGGGGGGTCGCACAATACCACCCAGGATAGGTGGGTTGCCGAAGAGAAGTTGGGTAGTGTGGGCCAGGGTACGTGTCATTGGGAGGGGGTAGAGGGTCCAGTTCCGCAATTCATAAATATTAATACAGAGTCCTCCCTCTTGAGGAGGGGGCAAATTCTTTAATTTTGTTAGAGGGGGAAGCGCTTTATTCACTTAATGGCTTTTATTAGTGCCCGGACTTCAACTCTTTCATTAGCTAAAGTGCTGCTATAATTTACAGGGGAAAGTGCAGCAAGGGAAGATGGGTGGGGGAAGGGCGGAGCTTGATGGGTGAGCACTGGCTCCTCTGCCATAGACATACGCCCCTACCATCTTAAAAAATAGACTCAGATCAATGCCTGAATCTGCCTCCATTTTATCCCCAAGAGCCTAATAACCCCACCAGAAGAAACAGACTTTACACTTTTGCTGATGCTGCACTTTAAATTCTCATTGATAACTTACTGCACCTTTCAATTATGCTTTCGTTGAGAAAATTTATTCTATTATCCACATTAGCTATTATTTTGTGAACAGGGTGGCAGGCGAGAGGCTTTTTAATCAGTCATTTTGAATAACACCAGACCGTATTAATTTCTTTTCAAAAACAAGAACACCAAAGAAATGCCTTGTGCATCGCCTTATTTATTCTATTATCCACATTAGCTATTATTTTGTGAACAGGGTGGCAGGCGAGAGGCTTTTTAATCAGTCATTTTGAATAACACCAGACCGTATAAATTTTTTTTCAAAAACAAGAACACCAAAGAAATGCCTTGTGCATCGCCTTTTCTAGATGTTCTGAAAAGGTAGATCATTTTGCTGTATAATTTCAATGGACTTATTTGAGAAACGATTTGACACTGCCGCAGCTGCTTAAAGTAGACTGCCCAATAACTAAAAAGAAATAGTGAAATAGATGTAAATATTCGTAGAGAGTCATCACAAACGCTCTTTTAAAGGGTTTCAACAGCTTTTGACAAATTCATTTCCATGTTGTGATTATTGAATAAGCATTTTAAGAAATCGTTTTAAAGAGATTCTCACAAGTACTCACAAAGATGAACTACTTGCAAAGGAATAGCTTAACACAACTTGAAATAGGCATATTCACTATACTATTTTATACATTTTCATAACTATTTCAGGTCTTAAAATCACTTAAATATTCAAAATGTCTAGGTTTTCCATGACTGTTGCAAAGGCAACAAAAAGGCTTTTTGGCTGATTAACCTTTGGGGCAGCTAGCACCCATCACACATTCATAATGTCAAATGTCCCTAGTGAGTGGGGCAATTTAGGGGCATCAGTGCTTCTGACTGGGTGTGCATCATTCCTTGTCCCGATTCATCCGTTAAGTGGCCTGGTTATCCTGAGTGATTGATTGTCAGTCACAGAGGGGGAGGGTATAATATGTAGCCACTAGACTACTGGATTAAACTATGTGAAGTGCTGGTTACTGACTAGATATCTCAGTTATTTTTGTTCATCAGGTAAACAATGCTAGAAACTGAATAAAAAGACCTGATCAAATGTTTTTTTGTCGAGCATCAGCGTCACATTTAGACATCCATGGATTTGTATATTAGGGTTTTATTGAAGTTCACTTTGTTTTGCAGCCCACAGATGTATTCTATATTCTAGCAGTTTGTGATCCCGATTCAAGAATGAGTAGACACATGTAATATGCTGAATGTATTTGTGTGATTTACAAACATACTTTGTCCGAGTCCAAAAATAAAAACGGAGAAACAACAATGTTGCCACAGGAACCTTCAGGGCATTTAGAAATGTCTTATCGCTTCTTATTTGAAGTGTAATGATCATGCAAAGCATCAGAGTTCGTTTATTTCTTGACCAGCTGGATTACATCCTCATCATCTAGCACATGGTCTTTGCCGACTTTCTGCGGGTTATGCTTCACTGACGACCCCCACACCAATGCACTGCAGAGAGAAGGGAGAGACATGATGCTAGGCACGTTTCAACACAGGAGTATTGTACTAAATCTTAAACATACATGCCTTCACTGACGAGGTATATTTTTTAAAATCTGCACCACATTTATTCTGGTGTGTAATAAAGACTTTGGTAGTTTGGTTTAAATCACTTGAAATAAAAAAATAATAATAATTTAGAAACAGTATTTGCTTCTGTACCACAGTAACAATTTCTGCCAATATAGAATTTGAAAAAATTCAATAGAAAATAATCAATAAAATACATAAATGTAAAATATATTTATTAAAGTGCATAATAGGGGCACTTTAATAAATCATAAATTAGGGGGTCTTCATCAAACAGTGGCAGATGTAGGCGAGTTGTACAAATAACTACAATAACTATAGACATTTTGACAGAAACTAGTTACCGTAATAAACATTTGTAAGGCATTTTAAATTTGACAGTGTTGATTGGATTCTGTTCCTTTATAAATCAGTGTTGTTATTGTTAACAAACTATTAAAAATTATTTGATAATTGAAATAATGCTTAAAGTAAAACGTAAATATTAGACGCAAACCTTAAATGAAAATTAGAAATGACTTGGAAACTAATTGAAAATAAATAATTTGAAGCAATAAAACTAAACCTGAAATAAACATAGAA